GGTCTGACTAGTCTAGTAACCTGAAGCTCTAATCTGTTGTCTCTTTTGCTCCGTTTGGCTCCGATGCGATCCACTCATCGTTCCTGCTGTTGACTGAACCCTGTCTTTGAACGCAAGTCTTCAATGCCCAGTCGAAGTCGAAGACGAAGGCAGTGGTTCAGTCGAAGACTGAGACGAAGGCACTCTCGTAGTCGAGGACGAAGACGAAGGCCTAGATCTCAGGCGGGAAGTCATACGGGCAAGCCTCCCCTGGATTGAGTTCGAGGTACCGTCTCCAGGTCATCTGCAGGAGCTTGTAGCAACACCTGGAATCATCTCCGCTAGGGCCCCACGAGCGGGATGCGCTCCATCGGTGCGCCTTATGGAAGATTCTCCAACATTTGTTATAAGAATCTTTGTAGCCTCTGTAAAAAGGCGGCAGCAACTGCTGCAAGTCCTCGAGGCTCCAAGCAGCATTGGACTGGAATCGGACAGCCTTGCGTTTCCCCGAAGACGAAGACGAAGACTTACCCGAAGTCGAAGTCGAAGGCCGGGCCGCCCGTCGGATCCTGGCGACGGTTCTTGTGACCTCCGCCGCTTCCCGCGCCTGGTCTCGAAGCGACCGCTGTGCTGCCTCGATGTCCCTCTTGTCGTCCTTGCCGACGACGTCGTCAAGGATCTCTGAAGCTAGGATATCATCAAGTTCGTCGTTGCCACCTGGGCAGCGGTAGTGCATGTTCCTCTCCAAGACGAAGGCGACTTCTTCCTCGCTGCATGCCAGCGTTTTCCGCACTGCGGACGCCAGGTTGTGGCCCAAGGCGTCTTCCAGACTCTCTGTCTCCGCATCAGCAATGCCCAGCTCATCCTGCCGAATGTTTTCCATGTTAATAGTTAATATACAGTCTCATTACAGAAGAATCAAGAAGTATAAATTAAGAAGTACATACCAAAGAAAAACTAAAAAACAAGAGCGGGAACTTCGTCCTGCAGGAGGAACTTCAGGTAGACATTGCTGATGTCCCAGAAGCCGCACGAAGCGGCGTGCTTGAGCAAGCCCACCGCCTGTTTTGTGCGCTCGCGCCAGAGCCCAGGCAGTGTCGGCACTTGAAAGTCTGCAGCAGCTTTCTTTTTGCTGCCTTTCTGCAGCAGTGCTGAGTGGAGCGGGGACACGATCGTGGTTTGCACGACCTGCCAGTCTGCAAACTTTTCCACAACCTTCCAGTGCAGATGCTCCCGAGTCAAGGGCTTCGGCAAGGAGTAGCAGACAGTGCCTGCAGTTGTGACCACTCTTTGCACGCAAATGCACAGTGCCGCTGCGCAGGTGGGCCAGGGACCAAGGCTGAACAAGACCTCCTCAGGGTTTTTCTTGTCTTTCAGCAGCAGGCCACGTTGCAGAAAGCGGGTTCTCCACGTGTTGACCAGATCAGGCAGCCGCCCTTCCTTGTGGAAACGCACCATAAGCGCTGATTCAGCAACCACGGCCGAGGCACGCAAAGGCGAAAGCGAAGGCCATGTCTTGCGATTCATGATGGTTCGCAGATTCTCCGTCGAAGGCGAAAGCTTTCGAGTGTGGAAGAAAGTGGACGGGATGTTCCCGACTGTGACCTGTCGGGGCATGTGTGCAAATCAGAACACAACACAGGATTTTCTCGGACTAACCAAACTTAAACTTAAACAAATGACCGAGGGTTTTTATGACGATTCTTATAGTTTGGGCGAGCATTCAACGTGAAAATCCCGCACCTCGGCATCATCCGGCTGGATCTCTTCGTACCCGAAGGAGCCCAGAATGTTCTCGCCAGAAAGCTTCGCCCAGCCGTCTATGGACGGCATCGCATGATTCAAGTTGTGCTTTTCTTCATGCTCTCGCATAGCACGAAATCCTTCCTCATTGAAGGTGAAGGCGATGTTGGACCAAAGATCTCGAAGCAGTGTTCGGAGCACCGGCGTTGCGGTACCCTGGTTCCGGCGGATGTCGAAGACGACATCTTTCACCAGCTGGAGCTGCATGGGCGATGTTTGGCACGCAGATTTGCACCATTTCGTTCGAATTTTTTGAGCACTTTCAAAAGCCTGATACTGTTCTTCGAGCTCCACACACACGTCTTGGATGACCTTGGTGTCGTTGCCGGTCAGCAAGACGAGCTTGTGCGGAAAGTCGAAGAAGGCCATGCTGCTCAGGCACTTGTGGTAGCATGCGCAGAAGAACATGTCGCACAGCTGTCGGAAAAGGCTGTCTTGGTGAGTCACCAGGGGGTGCTCCTCGCTCAAGTTGTAGTAGTACGTGGAGCCGGCGCAATCTTCCTGCCGTAGAAGGCCAAGGCGACCATGCAGATCGGCATCGAAGACGGCATCGTACATCTCTTGGACAACCGAAATCCATTGTCCCGATGCGAAAGAATGCCACATGGCCAAGGCGCCTTGTCTCCCCCTCACATCTCGCCTCAAACAGTTGAGCTGGCGCGACAGAGGATACGTGATCCCATGCCAGGCGTTCAGGGCGTTGATCAGGTCGGAGTCCATGAGAAGCATTGTGACCACGTGGAACTTGTTTCGGCAGCGAGCATATAACGCAGCAGTTTTTTGCGAGGCTTCCTTCGCCTTTGAAGCGGCTGTGGCCAAATCGGCGACTCCGGAGGCCAAGGCGACATTGTTCTTTGCAACTTGCAGAATGCCCGCTCGAAGGCAATAAGACTGCATGAGCAGCAACAGCAGTCCGTTTTCGTCTCGGCGGCTTTTCCATGCCGCATGAAACTCGTCCCAGCGTGAGAAGTTGCCGCTGCCGGTGTAGGCCTTCAGGAAGCGAGCTTCTTGAAGCATCTTGAGAAGAGCCTGCGGACTGCACTCTTCCAGACTCAAGTCCTTCTCCCGCGCCACTCGGGGTGCGATGGCGTTCAGCAGGACCTGACCAGAGCCGTCGTCAGCACAGGCCAGGGTCTTTGCGAAGTCCATGGCCTCTTCTTGGAGAATGCGAAACCATTTCGCGCCTTTGTAAGGCCCTCGGCAGTAAGAAAGTATGGCTTGTGCCATTTTCATCTTGGACACCATGCCCGCCAGGTTCGTGGCATTTTGAAACTCCCTGTGCAGTTGATGCCGCACATCGTAGAGAAACAGGCCGCGACAGCCAAGTTCGTAAAGAAGAAACCATCGGGCTGATTCTTGCTCGGACCCGTGGTCCGATGTCACA